TATGTAATTAGTCTAAAAAGAGGGTCTTTAACATTCCAGTGGGCACACACACAGACACACACATGCACAAAGGCTCTTAGTTAAACGCTGAATAGCTCGCAGGAAGTGGCTGCTTGGCAGTTTAGTGGCACCTCCTGTGGCTCATTGAGCCCTTCTCTCTTTTACCTCTAGCTTCCAGTCAGTCTTTTTTTAATCTATTCTTCATTCCTCCACCTCGACTCGTCCTATATCTCCGTCCAGTTCCCATCCTCCCTTTGCTCGTGGTGCCTTCTCACGCTCAGCTCTTGAACTTACACGCCCTCTCCCCTCCTCCCCCCTCTCCCACAGTACATGTCAGCAAACTGCATTGAGGGCTGACTGCAGTTCAAGAAACAGATGGAGGGGGAGGGGGGTCTAAATAGTGCGTCTCGTTTTAAGTGACCTGGAAGTCACGGAGAAAAACTGGGCCAGAGCCCCAATTTCAGATGACTAAAATAAGGCAGATCTGTCAACTCAATCAGTGATTAATTGTAAAAACAACTCATAACTCGCATTTAGTTTTAATCACTTTCTTCTTTTTTTTTCAATAAAACATTCACTTTTAAATCCAATAAAAAGTTACATTTGTAAAAAGAAAAGTCCTCCTGAGCCGTGGATGGGGTTAGCAAAAATTCTCTTTGGTCAACAAATGTAACATTTACAGTAATTTAAGGAGAGAATAAAGTATTTTTAAGGTATTTTGCTGTGAGGAGGTGAGGGGCTCCATCGTCTGGGGGGGTGGGGGGTGGGGTGGGCTCAGAATAGAGCCGCTGCTACTTCGCATTGAAAGATATCAGTTGCGGTGGCTCAGGCATCATGCCTCCTTGACGCCTTTTTTTGGAGGTTTTCCAGACACTAGGAAGAGGCCCCGGGGCAGACCCAGAACTTGATGGAGGGAACTATAGATCACCTCTGGCCTGGGAAGGTCTTGGGGTCCTCCAGAAGGAGCTGGAGTGTTGCTGGGGAGAGGGATGAATGGGGTTTTTAACTGGACCTGTTGCCTCCGTGACCCGACTACAGATAAGCTGATAGATAGAGGTGGAGTATTTTGTGTGTTAAATGACTTAACTAGGTAAAAGAATATTTGAAAACTAGGGTAATTATTTTGTCATGAAATATCATTAGTATTCACCGTCAGTCCATTGAATATTACTGATTCACATATTTTTGTTAGCACTGTGGAAACAAATGAATGCAACCATGCTATCTTAAAGATTACAGTTTATTCCACAGGAGATGTTTCTTTCAAAGTGTCTCTTTATAAAAAGTTTTGAAGATGTCTACGTTATTTTCTTCATTTTTCCAAAGGCTTGATAACCTTTAAAGGATCTTTTTTGGCCGACACATTTTTTAAGACCCTTTCTTACAAAATAACTATTCAATCGTGCTATGACTTTGTCCGCTGGAAAGACTGTATTTAAGATTCAAACACTGTAATTTTTCTAATTGTCAGTTTCTCCAAAAACGTGTCAGCCCTCACAGCCTGTCACCGTCAGATGTGCAACTTTAGAGAAGAATTAAACAAGTTTACAGCCTAGAACTAAAAACATTTTCAGTCTTATTAGCCAGCTATATTTAACTCTAGATGTAGACTTTGTGAACACGATTCTCATAAAATCAAGCTTGACGCTCAAATTTTAATGATCAATTCTATAAACTCGCCCTTGTTGAGGTCATGATTTCATTTTGAATTCAACAGAACTGAAGAGAGATCAGGCCACTTAAACTAAACAGAGAAACTCAACGGGCTGCGACACTTGTTGGTGACTCAGTATTGTGAGAAAATACGCAGATTTTCCATGACAGGTTTATTAAATTCTGAGTGTTTGCAATCAAGCAGCCAGCGAGTCATGTGGTCTTATTCTAAGAAGTCAATTTTTAAAGATTTTGGCTACAGACACAATTTGCTTTGTATTCTAGGCTACACACATTATTTTGTTGACCACCTCTGCCTACAGAAAACCTGCTTTGGCTGGACTTGCACCTATCTTAGAGATCTCCCCAACATGTATGATTTAATCTGCTGGAGTCGTCTTTTGAAATGAAGATGAGCAAATTAGATCAGTTTTTTAAATAACAATGATTTACCATCAGACACGTTTTCTGTCAGAACAGCAACATACAGCTCAGAGACGCGTTGGAGACACCTGCAACAACTCTGCGGCTATTTTGAAAGAACATGTGTGGCACAAATTTTTCCAGCATGTTTAAAGCTCAAGCAACAGAAATGTGCACCCCTGTGACTCACGCAAGGAAGCTGAGAACCCCTGTGAACGTTTCAAAACACTCCCCTGTGAATGCCATTCGACAACTAGCCACTAACAATCTCAGCCCAGTGCGACAACACCTTGACCAATAAAGAGCAGACAAAGCAGGAAGTATTGTCCTGCCTAGTTTCTGGATAAAACACTTATCCAAAAACTGAATGTTCCTAGAGTTCAGTCATTGAAACTGAACTTAAAAGACTCGCAGATTTGGATTTTTGAATGTGGGGTCACTATGGGTGATCTTTAAAGACTGTGGAGACCAATAAATGAATGCGTACTTTCTTGAACATTAGCTAAGGCTTCAATAACTCATTATAGTAACAGTAAATGTGACTCATACTGGCAAAATGAATTGGGCTGCAGGGCAATGTAAGTGAAAATATATATTTTTGCCGTAACTGAGATTTCAGCAAAAATGAGTCCACCATCTAGAGATCCCAGTAACTATACTGGTATGTAATCTTCCAAATCTACCTTTGAATCCAAGTTTTCTAACTGGTATGTCTTCAGAAATAATCCTTGATCTTATAACCTTTTTATTTTATTAGGAGCGGCTGAGTGGTTAGAGCAGTCGTCCTCCAATGCAAGACTTGGTGGTTTGATTCCACCAGCAGTCACATGCCGAAGTGTCCCTGAGCAAGACTCATTGCCTCTGATGTGTGTCCCATCAGTGTATGAATGTGATCTAAAGCACTGATTGGTCTTTGTAAAGACAGAGTGATGTATGAATGGGTAAATGAGGCACAGATTGTAGTGTAAAGTGCTTTGAGTATATTGGTAAGCTAGAAAGGTGCTACATAAGTACAGTCCATTTACCAATATTACTTTTGAAATTAATGATTTTTCTCTGCAAACTGCTGGAGGACAGGGTAATCCCTTCGTGTAATGTTTGGCATCGTTGTGATGCTTGGGCATTCCACTTTTTAAATACAGGGCGGGAATTCCTTAGAAAATGATTCTAGGTAAGGCAAGGCAAGTTTACTTGTAAAGCACATTTCAGCAACAAGACAATCCAAAGGCATGAAATGGAATGCAAGGAAAAGTTGGAGTACAGACCGAAGTTAACGATGTTAATATTTTAACTAGTCAAATGGTTGAAGGCAAATGTAAACAAATAGGTTTTTAACTTTGATTTAAAAGAACTCAATGTTTCAGCATTCTTGTAGGTTTTTGGAAGTTTGTTCCAGATTAGAGGAGCAAAAAACCGAATGCTGCTTCTCCATGTTTGGCTTGGATTCTAGGGATCCAGAGCAGACTTGAACCAGAAGACCTGAGTGGTCTAGAAGGTTGATACAACAACATATCTTTAATGTATTTTGGTGCTAAGCCATTCAGTGGTTTATAAACTAACAGTATTTTCAGGTCTATTCTCTGAGATACAGGGAGCCAGTGTAAGGACTTTAGAACTGGGGTGATGTGTTTTACTTTCTTAATTTTAGTGAGGATGTGGGCAGCAGCTTTCAGATATTATCCTAGACCAGGGGTCTGCAACCTGCGGCTCTGGAGCCACATGCGGCTCTTTGGTCCCTCTGTAGCGGCTCTTTCAAGTTTCGACCAAAACGAACAAAAAAAATGAATTTTATTGGTTGTTATACAAACAACAATAGTTTGAGCTGTTTTCCTGTCTTCTGCAAATACTCACTTTAACTTTTTTGCTTTATTTCTGCTTAATTATTTTTTCCACAATTAAAAAAAATTGCATAGGTCTGCATAGTTCATAGTTGTTTTTTTAATTTAAAAAACAATCCCCTCCCCCTCTTTACAATAATATGGTCTTTTCATTTGTCTTAAATTGTAAAAATGTCAATAAATGTTAAAAGTCATTCGATATTTTTAGCTTTAAAATGTCACTCCTACTGGCCACAAAAGTCTTCTCCAACAAACTTAAAGTGGCCCATGGGCCACCAGTTGATAACCACAGTTGTAGCAGGTTGTTGTGGCTCTGGACACATTTAATTTAGTGAACCAAGACATAAAAATGTCTCTTTTGATCTTAAAGGTTTCAAACCTGTCCTAGACCAAAGTTATTCAACTAAACTGCTCAGAGGCTGGACATCGAGCGGTTATTCTCATTATTTAAGCTTGTTTTATAGGTTTAAAATCTAGTTTTATTTTTAAAAAAATGAACCCATTGGTGAGCTGAACTGAGTTCATCTGTGGGCCTGATTCAGCCCTCGGGCCACAAGTTGAATAGCCCTGTCATAGACTAATTAAAAAAAATAGTTTTCAAACCGGCACCCTCATGAACAAAACTAGCTTTTTGGCAGGCCAAGTGATAAATCACCAAATTTCAATAAATTACATTTTATTTGAAGCTTATGAGACCGAGGTTTTGAGCATAGTCATCTTTCAATATTGAAAAATCTTTGACTCATTTTGCCAGCATGGGTCACAAATAAACTGAAGGTTTCCAGGCATTAACTGACCATTAACAAATTAACCGTTAGACATATTTGTCCTTGACAATAACTGAGCGGGAAGTAGGTCCTCTCTTGATTCAGGGATGATGATTTCCCTCTCCTACACGCAGAACTGATCGCAGCAAAAAGGGGAAACCACAACTCTTAGCTTACAGGACAGTAACCACTCGGCCAGTCTGTTGTGAAATTTACAGTTCACAGGGGACAGACGTTAGAACGATAATGAGGCGCAGCGTGATGACGAGGACGATCAACTCTGTGTGGAAGCTATGATTCCCCCCTGATCTTCTCTTACCTTCTGATACTCCGAGTCCTCGGGTCTGAAGTCGCTGCTCACCATTTGAAATTCTAAGTTGAAGTGAGGCAACCGGTGGAGCAGATTCACCCACCACGGAGGAGAATAGTTCACCACGGCCGCCATCCTGACGCAGCTGCTCACTGTCACGTCACTCTTTAACCTGATTCCTCACAGGGACACTGTAAAAAAAAAACAAAAAAAAAAACAGAACTAGCTGTATTTACTTTAGCAGAGAAAGCCATTTTTTAGTGTTACTGTTCATAAAGCTAAGGTAGAAATAAAAAAAATTAAAAAAAACATTTGAAGCAAAGAGCAATTACTCTATAATAAAGCCAATAAACAGCAACTACTTTTACTTTATCCAGCATTATATCAAGGTGACTTTATTGATGATTTCGGCATTTTAAAATATAAAAGTAATGGGAAGGGATGCAGTGATCACACACCTGATTGCTGAGTGTGAGAATGAAATACCTGCAGTATGACATATTAAAGTGAAAGCCTTCATCTGATAATAAAATGGATGATTACCTTGGACTACAGTGATGCATTGCTGATTATTGCTGATATGCAGCACAATTTATTACCAATAAAGGAAATAAAGTATGCTGTGGAGCAGTCAGGCTGATATTTCAAGCATATTGTGGGCAAACAGCAAACCTCTGCATGGCTGGCAGCTAGCAGGCATCAGCCTCTTCACGCCCATGATGCAGAACACACGCTTCGTGGGGGAAACGTTGCGCGTGGAATTAAACGCAGCACCACGACTCGGTCCATTGTGCGGAATTTACTGTACCGACACATGTAGGTCAGGGAGCCCGGCCTCATAAAAATGACAGGTAGTTATTTACCGTCACAGTACAAAAACACGGTTTAGCTAGCGTCATCCTGCTTTGTTCGTGAAACTACCGTTGAGGAGGAGGAGGGGGGTAAAATGAAGGGAGTACCGTGATGTGACCTACCTACTGAAGCCCGAAGCGGATGCAGTGTGTCGGTCCGGAGCGGAGCCTGCTTCACCTTTTGTCTTCCCCGGTCCGGTGGCGGTGGATATGGAGCACGACAGCCGGCCGCTGCGGCATCAACGCGGCTGGACCGAGCGAGTCGGCTGCAGTCCCCGCCGCATCAGGCTAACCGAAGAAGAAGAAAAAAAACCCGCCGTTGTGCTCACATTTCTTCAAAAGACTCAGAGCTTCGACGACCCCCCCTCCTCTCTTCTTCTTCGGCAGATTCGGGGTTAAACTCTCTGACCCGCAGCTCGTTTCCGTTGATTTATTTGCCGTTATGGCCTCCTAATGATTTGTGTTCGCTCCCACGGCGGTAGTGGATGTGGCGCCGCGCAGCTCCGTCAGTTGGATGATATCGTTGGAGCGTGAAGCAAGCACGAGCTTTAAAAAGCCCTGGAGGATGGGGGCTTTGCGGCAGCTCTGGCTTGTGTGAGCGCGCGCGCGCATTTCTGAGTGATAAAGAGGGCAAATGCGCAAAAATGTCGCCCCCTGGTGTTTATGGAGTAGTAGTGCAGGGCTGGTCAGCGGCTCAAACTTTTAGGGTTCAGGGACCCCCTCATGTTTATTGAATAATTCTCATCAGTTTGTCTCCTTAATGCAATGGAAATATTTATATAACAAAAATACTTACTCCCAGTTCTTTAGTGTTAATACCATGGGGTATTTTTCATTCAAGACGCACTTAATTAACAAAAATTTTCATTTCAACTTCCAAAAATTAGTTTTGAGAAAATTAACAGAATTTAAAAAAATACTTTAAAACTTTACCTATTCACATAAATGTATCGCCAAGTCTTCAACTTATTACAGAAAACTCTTTTACATAAAACTGAACAGAATCATAACAGCAAGTAACAGGGCTCCATTTGTAAACTGATCAGTGCTGGAATGCAAATGGCAGGTGGGCCGATGGGGGCAGGGTCTGGGGGTCCCCACACAGAAAATGTTGAATAAAGTAGATGTGATTTCCTGCATTTTGGTGTATTTTAACAGGCTGTTAAACATTTATATGCTTGTAAAAAAGATTTTTTATTTTTTTTGCGGACCCCCAAGCACCAGCTCACGGATCCCAAGGAGTCCGGGAACCACCAATATTTAATAAGACAGAATAGAAAAATAGAGAATAACCATACTGTTATTAGTGAACATGGTTTTAAACTTAATCTAAGCACTCTTAAGTCTCTTAGTCTGTCATTTCAAATATGTTATGAGTATTTAATACAGTTTAAACTGCTGGTATATCGGGACTTCACAACTGGAAGCCCATTTTTGCCACTTTGAAAAAAAAAATCTACATTACAAATACTATATCCAAATGCTGTCTCTTAATTGTGAAATACATTTCAAAATTACTCATTAGCATCTCATAATTTGTAATAGCCTATCAGCTATTTCAATTTTTTTACTTAGCATATCATAATTATGAGGCTCAGTCACAATTTTGGTATAGTATCTTATAATAAGGAAATGGTAATTGTTATATATTTGATACAGTATTCCATTATATAGGCCAAGTCATAATTTTGAGATCATATGTAAATATAATATGCCAAGTCTCAAATATTAGATGTTAGGATACTTTTAAGTTGCTAGGTCAAAATTATCATAGGTTAAGAAGATTTTCTTTTTTTTTAATCAGATGGGGAAAAAATGGGCTTCCATGTTTTAGTAAAAAAAAGAAAGCAAATAATCTAAAACTAATCAAAAGTACTTTCTGTTCGTTCTTTGTGATAACTACGGCAGATACTTTCTAGATTCTGACATATTTGTCGGCATATTGTTTACAGGATTCAGGTACTTTTAACTAATTTTGAGAAGTTTAGTCAAGTAGTTTAGAAAAAGATGGTTTTAAGAACGTAGGCGTGCACAGTGACTAACAGGGAAGAAAAACAACTCCACAAGGTTTGATCTTATATACTCATAAAATAATTCTTTAATTTCAACATTGCTTTTAAAGTATTCCTTGTACAATCTGAACACTAAAACAGATTCCTCACATATGTATGGATGACAATGTAAACACTCTTCAAAAATATGTTTTTTTAGAATGAGATTTCATTAAAAAATGCACTTCATTGAATGCTTGTGTGACATTAGGTTTACACACGTGTTGACAAGCACACTTTAATCATTGCTTTTGATGACCACTTAAAAAATATTTGTTTTCTTTAAAGCACAAGTATTATTAGAAGTAGACAGTGTATCCACCATTGGACTGATACGTATTGCAGCAGAGTGATCTATAATTTATTCACAGTTTTGGCTCAATAGTGCATCAGACGAAGATCCCCTCCAAGTCATAAAATTCAGCTAACGACAGGAATGCATGGAATGAGTTTCACATCAGGTCTGCTGAAATATAATCAGAGGAATTTACAGTAATTTGCCTCACTTGGCAGGTTAGCAGAAATGACTGCATTTATTGCCGTCAGTTTAAAGATAAATCATGCGGTATGCTATTTCAGCAGAGACAACAGCAACGGGAACAGTTGATACTAATTAAATAAATTAGAACTGGCTCAAGAAGAAGAAGTGAAAATGAAAGATGCTGCTAATTCAAGTTCAGATCAGCTTTTTTTTTCTCCACGACTAAAAGAAACGCTCACGTCAACATTTCAACACGTTTATAACGTGTTAGACATTGTCTAGAGTCAAATCTTGAAAGAAGTGATTATCTATGTGCCACATATCTCCAGATAAGACTCAGCTTCCCCAAAATGTTTGGTTATTTTTATGGGAGAGGCTTTTACACAGCGAATGCTGCGTTTATTCTGAATGAAAACATAAAGGTGTATTCGTCAACGATGTGACGTACAGTATTTGATTTTAGCAGACCTTACTAGCTTTCAAACGCAACCTGAAGCGAGCCAACAGGGACTATGACATCGAAACCTCTCGGCTTCTCAGTGGACGCGACGGAGACACAATGATGTCATCAGAATCGTCCGATTCATCGGCAACATCTGCGTCAGCATCTGCTGAAGAATGGAGTTCTCTTTGGGCTGCAACACACAGAATACACAGATCTATGGTGACTCAGTCCACTTTAATAATAAGCCACCTACAGACTGATACACACTCTAACCTGGTGTGTGTGATGTCCTGGAGACAGAAGTTGTAGAGGCAGGCCGGAGGTCTTGCTTGGGATCCTTTTCAGCATTAAGGTATTCAGTACCTTATAAGAGAAAACACCACAATCTAACAAGTCTGTTCTGAAATACTACAATGAAACCAGTAACATAAGTTAATACTCCAAATCAAAGTTTTCATTCGTATTCCACAATCACCCCGTATTTTGTCTAGCGTATCTTGTTCCTGTGTAAATGTACTAAAATGACAGCAAAAAAAACAACTTTATCTTCTTCTCTCAAATTCTACCTGTGTGAATGTTTATGAAGCATTCACTCTGTTGTGATCCATTTTTCTTACGTACGTTTTCGGCATCTTTCTCGTTCCACAATTTTTGTGCTATTTCAACAAATCACATAATAAAACGTTCAGCTCGTTACTTTTGGTATTGGTGCAACATTAGCTTTTTGAAATATTTAGCCTTTTCTGCCATTTTTTTCCCTCATAAAAAATGAATTGAGCTCATTTTACCTCCTTCAAAACTTTAGATCTATTTACAACCTTTTACAGCTCCTTTCACATTTTGTTCTGCTTCAGCTTCTTTCAGCTTCCTTGTGCAAATTTAAAATTTTCTTGAGCTACTTTCAGCTAATTTCAGCTGCTTTTTCAGCTCTTTTTGTGCTTTAACTTTTTTGTGCTAATTTCAGCTTGTTATGCTCCTTTCAGCTCATTTCTGTAAGTTTCAGCTTTTTCTACGATTTAGCTGTTTTATGTTAATTTTAGTTTTTTCAGCTAATTCCACTTTTGTTGCACTCATTTCTACTTTTTTCAGCTTAATTCAGCAAAAATATGCTCTCTTCACATCCGTCTGGTAATTTAAGCTTCTTTCTGCAATTTTTAGCTACTATTCAGCTGGTTTGTGCTAATTTAAGCTTTTTTCAGGTAATTTCCACTTTTTTGTGTTAATTCCTGCTTCTTTCAGCTTAACTGTGCAAACGTGTTCGTTCTGCTTTCTTCTGATAACTTAAGCTTGTTCCACCTTTTCAGCTAGTTTTTTTTATTAGCATTTTTTAGCTGTTTTCGGGCATTTTCAAGTTTTACATGGTAATTTCTGCTACTTTCAGCCTAACTAAATTATTTCTGCTAATTTCAGTTTATGCTCCCTTCAGCTTATTTCGGCTAGTTTCAGTTATTTCAGCTAGTATTTAGCTGTTTTAAGCTTTTTCAGCTAATTCCACATTTTTTGCACTCATTTCAACTTTTGTGTTTTTCCACTTTCTCCTGCTGATTTACGCCTGTTCTACATTTTCAGCTACATTTCAGAATGTATTTTTTTTGCTATTTTCAGCTGTTTTTCAGCAAGTTCTTCTGCAATAAGCATTCGCATTGCATTTTTGCAGGAAATGCAATTCCTCTAGTTTTCTTTTCTGCAACACAAGCTAAGATGGCACAGTCCAAATGTTCTTGAGCCCACCACACATCAAATGCAAAAGCAGTCAGGAAAACTGCTGACATCAGCTGTACGCTCTGTGCAGCCGCCTGCTCATCACAGGCGAGAGAGAAACTTATGTGTATGAGATGGAGAGGGCACAGGAATCTCTCAGGGTCATTTCAGTCATGTCTCTGGACAGCAGAGGCTGTAGTTCTTATGGGTCATGAGAAATGGCATCATTACAACGCTGCAGCGCTGCTGAGTGCCCTCATCGGTCTTTGGCACGAGGTTGTGAAATGTTCTGGCTGGTGCAGAGGCGACAGCCATCATTGGATTAGATCAGTGTGATCCATCGCTTCTTATAAAGGTGTCAGGGGAGCGATGAGCAGTTCTGAGGCTTATTACAGCAGGGCAATGCCACGGCTGAACACAAGTGTACATCAACGAAGAACTCTTACTTGAAGGCAGAGTACTTGCAGTGGTTGAGCATTTTCTATTATTGATCAAATATTTATTTATGTCCAGAGTAAAGGAGTCCAGCATCATTAGCCAGAGCATAAAGAACACAGTGAAGACAGAGACGCAGTTTATCGATCTGTATTTTTCACTGTAGCTCAGTGGTCAGTGCCGTGGTTTTGTAATCTTGAGGTTCCTGGTTCGAGCTCACGATGCGTCAAGAAGAGCATCCAGCGTGAAACAAATCGACAAATCTTTCATGCGAGTTTGCTCGCTGTGGTGACCACTGAAGAAAAGAGCAGCCGAAAGAAACGTACGTACTTCTTGATATTTACTCAGCGCTTGGGTCTCTACAAGCAATACAGAATAGAGTGGTAATATCATTTCTTTATTGTGTGAATGTTCATGAAGGATTTGTTCTGTTGTGATCCATTTTTCTTCTGTACGTTTGTCTGCATCTTTCTCCTTCCACAATTTTTTGTTCTATTTCAACAAATCATACATCAAAATGTTCAGCTCTTTCAAGACAATCCTGCTATGACTTTTGGTATTGGTGCAACTTTAGCTTTTTGAAATATTTAGCCTTTTCTGCCATTTTCTTCCTCATAGAAAATGAATTGAGCTCATTTTACCTCCTTCATATCTTTAGATCTGTTAACATTTTACTGCTCCTGTCACATTTTGTTCTGGTTCAGCTTCTTTCAGCTTCCTTATGCAACTTTAAACTTTTTTCAGCCACTTTCAGCTGTGTGTGTGTGTGTGTGGGGGGGGGGGGGGTGTCAGTTGATTTGTGCCATTTTCAGAATCTTTCTTCTAACTACAACCTTTTTGTGTTTCTTCTAACTTTTTTCTGCTAATCTCAGCTTGTTGTGTTCCTTTCAATGTAGGTGGGAAAGATGAAGCACCCACACCTGCCTCCACCCTCATTTGCCCCACTCTGGGCCCTTGAGCAAGGCCCTTAACTCCCACCATCTGCTTCCCTGGGTGCCCTAGATAGCAGCCCTCTGCTCCACACAGAGGGCTGTGGTAGCCCGGTGGTCTGTGGTTGCATCAGGAAGAACATCTGGCGTAAAAAATAATTGCCAAGTCTTTGTGAGAGTTAGATCACTTGAAGAAGGGAGCAGCTGACAGAAGAAGAAGAAGAAGAAAAGTGCTCCTTTCTGCTTACTTATGCAAGTTTCAAATTTTTCTACTATTTCAGCTACTATTTAGCTGTTTTTATGCTACTTTTAGATTTTTCAGTTAATTCCACATTTTTTGCACTAATTTTAACTTTCTTCTGTCTAATTCAGCAAAAATGTGCTCTCTCCACTTCCTTCTTGTAATTTCAATTTCTTTCAGCATTTTAGCTACTTTTCAGCTGTTTTTTGGGCTAATTTCAGCCTTTTTTTTTTTTCAGATAATCTCCACTTTTTTTAGCTTATTTCTGCTTCTTTCAGCCTAAATGGGCAAACGTGTTCTTTCTGCTAATTTCAGCTTGTTCTACCTTTTCAGCTACCCTTTTAGCATTTGTTTTAGCTATTTTTGGCTGTTTTTAGATAAATTCACAGTTTTCATGGTAATTTCTGCTACTTTCAATCTAATTAACTTCTTTCTGCTAATTTCAGCTTGTTATGCTCATTTCAGCTTAATTATGCTAATTAATTTAGCTGTTTTTATGCTAGATATAGCTTTTCAGTTAATTCCACATTTTTAGCTCATTTCAGCTCTTTTCACTTTATTCTGATAGTTTGAGCTTATTTCTGCCTTTCAGCTACTTTTTAGTTTTTTCTTTTGCTAATTTTAGCTTTTTTTTAGCTACTTTCCTAATTTTTCTGCTAATTTCTAATTATTTAAACCCATTTCAGCAAATATGTGTCGTTTCTGCTTTCTTCTGCTAATTCAGGGTTGTCTTCCATTTCAGCTACATTACAGAATTTTTTTTTTAAATCTAATTACAGCCATTTCTCAGCAAGTTCTTCTACAATAAGCATTCCCACTGCATTTTCACAGGAAATGTAATATCTCTAGTTGTTTATGTAATACAAAAAATGTGAGCCTTACCTCTGTGAGTGAGTGTCAGGCCAGCCCTTCTCGAAACCAGAGTAGGTTGAATGTTTTCTGCTGGAGAAGGCACAGCAAACCCCGAGCTAAAACACAAACACAAGGACCGCTGAATACATGTTATACTTTATTTACAGGGTTTCTGCAGAGTTTTAAAAAGTTTTATAGCCTAAAAAGTCTTAAATATGTCCAGATTTTCCATTTTGGGTGATAAAATACATTTAGTCAAGTCTTTTGTTTATTCATGTTCTTCCAACGGCAGTCGTGTTGGAAGGACATTCTGCTCAAAAGAATTTGGTTGCCCTGCTCCTAAAACTGGCAACTGATTTGTTGTACGTTTTTGAACGATTTGGACTGAATTAGAATAAAAGTTGATAGTTTGAAAGAAATTTTACGCCTCACTATTTGTCGTGATTCATGTAGGCCTTCAATTTGAATCATAACGGTCTTTAAAACATCTTACAAAGCATCAAATTTACCTGACTGACATTTGCAAAAACCCTGTATTTATTCTGTTGCATGCATGAATGAGTAACCTCTTTATTGCAAAACTCCACCGAGCCAGATGTCCCCTGAATGCAGACTGAATCATCGTCACAGCAACCTCGTCCAGCTCTCCAGGCACAGGATGGGCTTCATCGCTGCAGCTTAACGAGTCCATCGGCTGAAAACAGAACGTATTGATACAGATATAACAGAAAAATACTCACAGTAAAGTTTTGTCTAATACCATCAAGTGGCCATTTCAATACAGTAAAATTAGTTTATTTCAGAAGAAGACGTAGAGTTCTCTTTTTAACAATCTCATTCATGTGAAGTCTCAAGTTATTCATTATTTGATCTAATCTTGGAGCTTAAAGTCTCTTGTCAAAATTGCTGATAACTGCCTACCAACTAAAAACACCACTGCAAAGTTGTCAGGATCGTTGAAGTATTTATATTACTGTGTGCATGTTTATGAAGCAGTCACACAATTGTGATCCATTTTTCTTCCATACATTTTTCAGCATCTTTCTCGTTCCACAGTGTTTGTGCCATTTCAACAAATCATGTATCAAAATGTTCAGCCTCTTTCAACTTCCTTGTGCAAATTGTAACTTTTTCAGCCACTTTCAGCTAATTTCAGCTGGGTTTTTTTCAGTTGTTTTGTGATCCTTTTACATTCTTTCTGCTAACTACAACATTTTTCAGCTTTTTCCAACTTCTTCCTGCTAATTGCATCTTGTTAAACTCCTTTCAGCTTATTTATGCAAGTTTCAGCTTTATCTGCTATTTCAGCTACTATTTATCTGTTTTTATGCTAATTTTAGCTTTTTTGGCTAATTCCACATTTTTTGCACTTATTTTAACTTTTTTCAGCCTAATTCAGCAAAAACTGAGCACTCTCCACTTCCTTCTGGTAATTAAAGCTTCTTTCGGATGGGTTTTTTTTAGCTACTTTTCAGCTTTTTTTGCTACGGTAATTTTACCTTTTTTCATATAATTTCCATCTTTTTATGCTCATTTCTGCTTCTTTCAGCAAATACATGGTCTTTCTGCTTTCTTCTGCTACTTTAAGGTTGTTCTACCTTTTCAGATTTTTTTTTTTAGCATTTTTAGCTAGTTTTAGCTGTTTTCAGATAAATTTAAGCTTTTAATTAACTTATTTCTGCCAGTTTCATCTTGTCAAGCTCATTTCAACTTTCTTCTGCTAGTTTCAGCTTTTTGTGCTATTTCAGCTATTTTTTTGCTGTTTTGTACTAAATTGAGCTTTTTCAACTAACTCCACATTTTTAGCTCATTTCAGCTCCTTCCACTTCCTTCTGGTAGTGTAAGCTTCTTTCTGCCTTTTCAGCTTTTTCTTTGTGTGTGCTAGTTTTAGCTTTCTTTTTAGCTAATTTCATAATTTTGGTGCTAATTTCTGCTTATTTAAACATAATTCAGCAAATATGTGTTCTTTCTGCTTTCTTCTCCTAATTTAGGCTTGTTCTTCTATTTCAGCTGCATTTCAGTATGTTTTATTAGCTAATTTCAGCTGTTCAGCAATAAGAACTCACAGTGCATCTTCACAGGAAATGCTTTCTCTAGTTACACTTGTTTTCTTTACTGCTGAAGTTTAAAAAAGTTTGACATCAATATATGAAGAGGGACCATTTCTTGAATGTCATGGTTCTTGTTTCCTTGTGAAAGTGTATGAGTCAAACCTTGTTCTGTACATCGTTCACCAGGATCTTGAGCTGTGACTCTCTGAAGAGATGGCCCCTTAAAGCTGACTGCAACATCACAATGTCCTACAGAGAGACCACAGATAGAAGAACATAAGAGAAATCTGGTAAAAACGGGGACAGTGTCTGGAGACTTTTATATAATCATTCCTCTCACACACCAGTGACTTGTTTTACATAAGTGTACCATGTTACATACTCTCTGTCTGTGCTGCCTCCAGTTTGTCTGAATGATCAAAGCTGCCTTCTCTCTGTTTTTCTTCCCCGCGTCAGTCCTAGATTCATCATCTCTTTCCACCCCCGTCTCTTCAGTGCATCCAGCGCCCCGCTCATCGTCCTCTTCCTGATCCGCTCTGCTCTGAGCGTCCTCATGACTCCCTGCCACCGTGGGAGGAGGAGGAGAGGAGAGCTCGGCCTCCACAAGTTTGAGTCTGTCCTCCTCCAGAGTTCGGATCCTCACTAGCAGCTGCTCCAACTCCTGGCTTAGAAACCGTGAAGCAAAATACACAAAAAGATAAAAGACTGCATTTTTACAGCATAACAACCACATCAAACTTGTGCCGGCTAATTTGTACAATCTGAATCATTAACTGGTAGCAGAAGTTTCTCAGATAATTTGCAGACCTTTTAGGGAACAGGTGTCATACTCAGTTACAAGAGGGGGCCAAAATTAAAAACTTGGTCCGATCCACGGGCCAATTTCAGTTTTTACATGAACTCAAGTCAGATACATGCCAACTTTTCTTGCTTGCAGGTTCCTCAACAAGAGTTTCATGGGTCTCATTTGATCATCTCTGAAGCTCCTTCCACATCAGAATCAAAGCTTACTGAAAAATCCAACATTTTCTCTTCTGCCAGCTGGCAAGAAAATTCTGCACTAAATTAAGTAGTTCTAAGTTTTTTTAAGCTAAATGAGAACAGAGTAGGCAGCACGGTGGCGCAACTGGTAGAGCTGCTGCCTCTCAGCGAGCAGGTCCCTGGTTCAAACCCCAGTCCAGGGACCTTTCTGGGTGGAGTTTGCATGTTCTCTCCGTGCATGCGTGGGTTTTCTCCGGGTACTCCGGTTTCCTCCCACAGACCAAAAACATGCATGTTAGGCTGATTGGTAACTCTAAATTGTCACTAGGTGTGCGTGAGAGAGTGAATGGTT